ATTAAAACAAACGATGCTGCACGTCATATGAATGAAATAAATAATTCTGGATCACAACCTCACCGCCTGCTACGTAAGGTTGCAGGCGCAACACGGAGAAGTCGTGAGCAACAACAAATGCTGGAGGAGGAACGGGGCTTCTTGATTTCATATCAACCTTCTTTTTTGCTCTTCTTTTTTGCTTCGGTGTTGTGTGCAGCTAAAACAATATTGAAATGTTTACATCTCTATCTTTCAAATAATTCACATAAAAAAATTCTATTATTACGATATAAGTTTTTAAATTAAACGAATACCTCGGTGTACGGAGGGCACAAATACTTTGATGGATTTCGAGCCCTCGGTTTATCGGGTGTAACTTCTTTGCCATCAAAACCATAAGCATCATAATAATCTACATTTCCCGTAATTTGTATTTCATCTTCCTCCGACACCTAAATTAATAAGCAAAAATCTCTAATTAAAACATGTTTCAATCTACTAAATAAAAATTAAAATAAATGTAAGTATAACAACCTCTTTAGCTTCATTATCATTTACATCAAACACATCATCATCAAATTTGTTCCTACTACAACCCGCATTCTCATTCCTCTCCTCCAACTCCTACATTAAAATTAACACATTATAGTTATTAACGAAAGAAACATTAAAAATAAATTATTAAAATCGTAAATGTAATATCTATAATAACCTTGTCGTCTTCAATATCACCAAAAATATTTTCATTTGTATTATTTTTATTCATCACTTCATCTTCTACAACCTAAATTTGCAAATATAAAATATGAACACAAATATTAATATATGTTAATAAATTAAAAAAAAATAATGTAGCGTGTAACTAACCCGTTCATCAAATTTTGTTTGGAATACTGCAGGCTCCTCAAAACTTATGTTATTCCATAGATCTTCATTATTCACTTCTTCAACAAACACCTCTGTAGGTTCTCGGTTCGTAAACACATGTTGCTCCAGTGCATGTAGCCGTTTCAACACCTCCTCTAGGTTGGGTTTTCCACTGCGCCCACCTCTACCATGAGAGCGACCACTAGACGACATACTAGACGAAGATTCGTCTTGTCTCCTAAAATGGTCCCGTACTGGGGATGGAACTGATTTCCGTTCACCATATACATACTCTTGAAATGACATATAATAAAAAGATGTCATCTCATCATCACTCGGTGACATTTTATTTCTTGGTGGTTGTCCCTCCTAAAAAATAGAACATATTAAAATTGCATATAAAAGTATAATAATGAATTTTATTAATAATTAAAAAAATTATAAACCTGTATCTTTGAAAAAATCTTGTTCACATCAACCCATTTCAATTTTTTGTCCCACTCCATCGTTTCATCCGAGGCATGTCTCTATTTTTTCTCAATACAAATCCACACGGCACGAACAGCCGGAAGCATCTCATATATCCATATCTACAATTTTTACAATTATAGTAATAAAAGTTAAAATTAAAAAAACTATCATAACAATAAAACCATTTAAATATAAGTAAATTTTTATACCCTAATTGGAGCCGTAAATCCTGAGACAGTGTATTTTAAAGTTTGACGACGCTCAGGAAGTGATAAATATTTATTTATCTTGTTCCATGTATCCTCAAGGTCATCATACGTAAAATCCCATAAATAGCTACCCCAAGCGAAACTAACAAACAAAAAAAATTTAGTTATAATATAACTTAACATTAATAATATAAAGTATCAAAGTAAAGAAAAAATACCTGTTCCAACATCCAAATTCTCAGCCAAAAAAAACCAATCTTGTGGCACGCGATCATTTATTTCTTTTCCCAAAAAACCTTCACATAAAATGTAAATCAAACATACTCTAACTGCATCGGCATCGTCAACTTCTAAGAATGGTTGATTTAAAATAAAACTTTTCAGGTCACCGATTTTCACCGAACTATTTGTATGGTTCGGAAATAGCCGCTCACGCAATAAACATCTTTTTTTAGTACTAACTATTTTTTCTGACACTTTTTTCCCGATGTTTTTTGGATACTCCGCAAATTTCAACCCGGTTATCAAACAAAACTCTTCCGGCCCATATACCAATTTCGTATCGGCTACTCTAAAATATAACCGTTTTATTCCATCTGGAGATAAAACAGCGACCGGCCGTATCTGATGAAGGAACATTTTGTGGAACAACAATCCGTCCCCTTGTAAACGAGGGACGTCCAACAAATAACCAAATACTGTATCTCTAAATATTTCACGTCTCACACCATCTAACACTTCAAACACTTCCCATATGTTACACCCCGATCCCTTTAAGTTTACAATAGCTTTCACATCGAAATAATTAGAATTATGCTGCAAAAAACACAATAACATATTAGAAAACTAAACAACTATTTCATTTTAAAATATTTTATTATTAAATGCAATAATAACATAATAACAATGCAAATACAAATATTTAATAAATAATTTATATATTTACGCTAAAAAACAATAACATACTATAACAATTTTTCAACTTAAACGGTGACTATATAAACAATTTTCCAAGTAATACGACAAATATACAAACGATTTTTATCTTTCTAATTATATCAAATAACATTTTCTAACCATATAAACAAGAACAAACAATTTTTCAACTAAAACGACAACTAAACTAACAAATTTTCAACTTATATGAGAAATATACAAACAATTTTTAAGTTTCAAATTATATAAAATAACATATTCTAACCAAACATATTGTAAACCACTAACCTAACATATTGTAAACATTATTCTAACAATTTATTTAACTACTAACTTAAAAAAAATAAGCATATTCTAACCATTTGACTAAATGTACAACTACCCGATGCACACTCTAGCAGTCTCTACTTGTACATTTATACAACCACTAACAAAATAACATTTCAACTTCAAGTTTAGTAATAACAAATATTCAAACTATCAAATACAACAAAATTACCCTATCACAAACAATATAATTTCTTTTTTTTACACTAACTAATACAAATAATTAAATAATAAACATAAAAAGAGTTAAAATCTAACCATATTTTCGGGATTGTTGAAGTAATCGTCCACTTTCTTCAAGAAATCGTCAAAAGGAATCCCCGAGAGAGAGAGTTTTTCTATATTGAAGAGTGAAAAATGAGGAAAAAAAAAATCCTTTTATAGAATTTCCTGCGAAAAATCGCGGGTGTATAGTGAAAATCGCAGATGGACTTTTCCATCTGCGAATGTACAAGTACCTAAAGCACAACTGTGCTTTAGGTACTTGTACATTCGCAGATGGAAAAGTCAAATCGCAGATGGACCATTCCCATCTGCGATTTTGAAGGCCATTTTTGCAATTTCGATTTTTTTTGGCTATTTTCCGCAAAGTGATTAGGATAATTGACTATTTTTGTCATTTTCTCTATAATTTATTCAAATAACTTAGGGTTAATAAACATGTAGTTATGTTTTATTATGAGTATGTTTTTTTTTCCTAAATGATAGGACTCTAGTGTTTGATATGAAAAATTTCAAAGGGAATATGCATCCAGACTCATCCAAAATATTATTGTTGTTCTTTGATTTACCTTCCATATGATGGATCGTAGACTGATACGGTTTATCATATTGTATTGGTAAGTTTGGCAACTGGTTTTTTAATAAAGTTTTACCTTTCAAGAAAAACGTTGAATTTAAAAATATATATATATATATATATATATATATATTATATATATATATAAAGAAAAAAAAAACTTTTTGTTTGGGAGTATGAACATAAAGTATTTATTTTAGAACAAAAGGTTTATAATTCAAAAATTACTGTAAATAGCTAACAATAACTAGTTAATTTTGTCAAACATACTATCTATGAATTTTATTTTGGCATGGTTTAGTGCTTCTATTATATTTTAACAAGTATAATGACCACATTATGCTAAATTTATAAGAAAATTATCATAGTAAGTTTCATAAGTTGTCAAACATATTTAATGGTTAATTGCTTAATTGATGTGGTATTTTTTTTTCTGGAACGCATTCTAATTTATTTGTTTCATATTTAGATTTTTAGTTTTTTATACAAAAAAATCTTTTAAGGTAAGATAAAAAAGCTTAATAAATAAAAGAACTATATATTGTGAATATTCAATCATTCAATGCCCACTATGAGAGTGTAATTATTTTAGTGCGTGTGGTTGTATTAAGGTGGCCATAATTGACTTGAATCTACAATACTTAGCTACCTTTTCTTCGAGTTTTAAATTTTAGACAAAACTTCAAAAATGGTCCCTGTGGTTTTCGAAAATATCAAGTTTAGTCCCTAAGTTCAAAAAACCTTATAGATGGTCCTGTGGTTTCAAAACTTTTAACAAATGGTCATTTTCGCTAACTCCGTTAGCTTTTGGCCGTTAAGTGAAGGGCATTTCTGTCATTTCACTACCACAGGGACCATTTATGAAGTTTTTGCCTTATTTTAAAAAAAAGAAAAAAATATAATTATTTAATATTAAAGGGTCCCACCCTCTCTCTCTCTCTTTCTCTCTCTCTCTCTCTCTCTCTCTTGTACGTCTTCTTCCTAAACAGATCAAGATTCAAATTCCAAATCAAATTTCCACAAGCTTGATTTCATCTGGGTTTTGAATCTCGTTATCAATCAAACCTCAAATTCCAAATCAGATAAGCATTTAAAGCTCTGTTTCGTGTTTTAATTGAATCGAAATCTCTCTATTTCTTTTCCCTGCTCCAGTTGAGCCTAATCTGCATCTTTATCGGACAAAGAAGACTCCCATTATTCCAATTCGAGCTCCAGCTTTTCCGATTCACCCTTTTCCCTTTCTCTTCTTCCACGAACAATCACCACCACCATTTATATGTTATCTCCGACCAACAGCTACCCTCCCCTGCCCCCATCTGATATGTCTTCTCCGACATATCAGAAAGAAAAGATGCACGAATGGGAAAAAACGATTCCGAACAAAACTCACTCAAGATCAGAAAGAAAAGATGCACGAATTAGCTGAACGAGTCGGATGGAAGATGCAGAAGCGAGACGAAGACTTAATAATCAGATTCTGCAACGAAATTGGGGTCGATAAAGGGGTTTTCAAAGTCTGGATGCATAACAACAAGATGACGTTCGGCGTCAAGAAAGATTCTGGCAACCACAACAACGACAATGGATCTCCCGGCAGTGGAATTGATTTCTTAACAAATAGAAATAACCACCACGAACAATCGAAATGTCTTCCTTCGTATGTTTGCAGATTTCTGAGTAGATTTCAGGGGGATAAGCGATTTATTGGTGATAGATTTGGGTTTTGGTTTGTTGATTATTGATTTGTGTTCTCTTAGGGTTGAGAATCGGGAATGAGGGTTGCGATTTCAAGGAAGGAAGATCGATCAGGAGAGAGAGAGAGAGAGAGAGAGAGAGAGAGAGAGAGAGAGAGAGAGAGAGAGAGAGAGAGAGAGAGAGAGAGGGTGGGACCCTTTAATATTAAATAATTATACTTTTTTTCTTTTTTTTTAAATAAGGCAAAAACTTCATAAATGGTCCCTGTGGTAGTGAAATGACAGAAATGCCCTTCACTTAACGGCCAAAAGCTAACGGAGTTAGCGAAAAAGATCATTTGTTAAAAGTTTTGAAACCACAGGGACCATCTGTGAGTTTTTTGAACTTAGGGACTAAACTTGATATTTTCGGAAACCATAGGGACCATTTTTGAAGTTTTGTCTAAATTTTATTATACTGGTTTTTCAAAAAGAATAAAAAGAAAATTTATTATTACTTTGTTCATGTATCGCAAAATGTTATTTTACTTTGATAGTTTGATAAAAGATCTAAAACAATTTCAATTTATATTACTTTACAATAATAAAAAAGTTAATGGTATATATTGAGTGATAGTTGCTAAAGGATTATATTATTTATTTCGTATTTCGTATTTGAAACATATTGTGATTATAACATCTACCAACATACACCGGAGATATTGAATACATGATATCATTCGTACATGTTTTGTTATTTTAATAATATAGCTTAGACATTATTTAGAATAGAATTAAACAACTATTTTTTGTAATGCTCGTTCTTGAATTTGTGACCACTTGTGTGTGGCACACCCTTTGCTTTGCCCAATTTTATGGACTATTTAATTAATATAAAACTAAAATAATAAAAAGTATTTTATAACTGCAACGTCGTTAACGAGTGGAGATTCTTAATACAATCATTTTTTATTGGGTAAATGGCACAAAAAACATTTTTTTTACACAAAAATTCGATTTTGACACCGTGTTTTTTTTTTTTGTGTCAATTTTGACACTGTGTTTTTCAATTTGTTACAATTCTGACCACTTGACCGGTTAACGAGGTTACATGCTGACGTGGCATGATGACGTGTCAGTTTTGATGACGTGGCATGCTGACATGATATGCTGACGTGTCAAAATTGATTTTTTTTCCACAAAAACACTAAGTTTTCACTTTTTTTTTATTTTGACACTAAGTTTAACTTTTTATTTCAATTTTGACACTATGTTTTTTTTGTTCCAATCGAACATCATTTATCAAATTTTGTTCAATTTTGTCTATTTTCCATTTGAAACCGTATAAATATATTTTTTTTATTACATTTTAAACCGTATAAACATATTTTTTTCGTTTAAAAACCACATTTTTGTTTAAATACAAGGTGTTTTTTTTCTTACATTCAAAGCATTAGTTATATCATGAGAATCAAACTAACCATAAGCTTCTAATAAGATGTAAAAATTTGATGGGTTGCAAACTTGATATCCGAGTTCTGATCGACTACACGCCTCCAAACTTCCAAACTTGGACAACATTGAACAAAATTGGAAAAAATGATGTTCGATTTGGAATAAAAAAACATAGTGTCAAAGTTGAAAGAAAAAATTAAACTTAGTGTCAAAATCGAAAAAAATGAAAACTTAGTGTTTTTTGTGAGAAAAAAAAAATCAATTTTGACACGTCAGCATATCATGTCAGCATGTCACGTCATCAAAACTGACACGTCATCATGCCACGTCAGCATGTAACCTGGTTAACCGGCCAAGTGGTCAGAATTGTAACAAATTGGAAAACACAGTGTCAAAATTGACACAAAAAAAACACGGTGTCAAAATCGAATTTCTGTGTAAAAAGAGTGCTTTTTGTGCCATTTACCCTTTTTTATTTATCTATCTTTTGGAATCATAAAACCAGCAAAATACACTCACGTGGGAAGTTCCCTATTCCTTTTTTTATATATATAAAATGAAAATAAATTATTTTTTTATTTACCTTTTCATTTTGTCTAAAGTGAATATTTTAGAAATACATTTATCAAAAGTTAACATATAATTAACCACTTATAACTAGTTTTTCGAAAAACAATGAAATTTCAACCAATAAAAATATTTCAAAAACTAAGTAGGGTGTCTATATGGTAAAATATGATGTCTTTTTGGTCAACCCTTATAACTTAGGAAAATGACACTGTAGTCCTACAATGTTTTCAGAACTGGTCTAATCAGTCTCTAAACTTTTTTTTGGGCTTTATAGGGGCATAAGGTGGACTTTGTCGGGTCTAAATAGTCATTTTGGACAAAATGAAAGGGTAAATCGGTTATCCCTTGCCATATCACTAATTTAATGTGTCACATAGACAACACTTCCTTTGACCATCTTTTCCTTCCATCAACGTTGACTTCTCACAAAAATCAATGGATTTTTTTACTGAAATACATGAAGAATCAAAGGATTTTTTTATCTCTATCAAATAAGAGATTCATGTGATTTTATTTTGACTATGAACTTTGACCACCATCATCTTGCACCTGGTTCATCAGCCTTCAATCCAAAATCTAACATCACCATAAGGTACAATTTTCTTTGTTCTACCCAATAACAATCATAGATCTGATGAAGACACATACAGATTTGCAAATCGCAAATATAATTGATTTGATTTCGTTGAAAACCAACAAAACAAAGTTGGAGACACAAACATACAAATTTGGGATTTAGGATCAAATAGAACATGTAATCGATCGATTTCCTTTTTTACATTTGGTTTTTGTTTTTGTTCAAACACTTCTGATGAAATGTTCTTCTACTGATTCAACAACCATGGTTTTCAGGCGTTCATCAATGGGTTCAACAATAGTGTATAAACAATAGTGCACAAACCTGTTCCGCACCTTCAACATGTTGGATTAAGTGTCTAACGTCCTAACTAAATTGGTATAATGTTGATAAATAAAAGTAAAGTCCTTTTTGGGTTGCTCTCATAACCAGGAAATAGCTTTGATTGATCAAAGGAGACAGAGATAAATGTTTTGTTAATACATTATGTGATTAATATATTAATTAAAAATTATTAATTATTGATTTGTTAATTTATTATATTAATAATAAATTAATTAGAAATAGTCAAAATTGATTAATTATTAATCAGAATTAATCTGGAATCAATTCGGGATTAATTGGAATTAATTAAAGGTGCAAGTGGTGAATTGTAATTGTTCAATAGTTGAACAAAAGAGACAATTCTAGAATAGTCCATGGCATGGACGGTTTTGGAGCCATTCTTATGGTTTCCAGAAGCCTCCTGATGGTATATAAGGAAAGGATTTGGATTGGGATTAAATCTATTATTTAATTATTCTAATCTTGCTTTGTCCCTAAGTTACCTAGACTATAAATATGACCCTTGGGCACCTAATTTTCGGGTCTCTTTCATACCTAAAGGGGAGAACGAAATTCTCCTTCTCTCTGCCCTCTCTCATTCATTCTTATGGTTTCTTGCGTTTTAGGTGTGAACCATTAGAGGCTCGCAAACTATTGGAACTAGGTTTTCCAAGGAGACAAGAAGACTTTTATTAGCTTTATTGGAATCAACAAAGGTATGTATCTCTAATTATGAGTTTGATTTCTACTAGGGTTTATTAGTTGTTATTCAATAGTATGTTGTTTCAATAGTGTTATGACATAGATCTATTAGGTTGTATGTACCCTTAAGAGTATAAGGATTTTTCTGCATTATTACATGTCAAACCCACAAGTGGTATCAAAGCATTAGGATTGTCTAACAATTGAATGTGGATGAGTTGAACTTGGACAAATTGAAGAAAACGAAATCATCATTCTGTCGCAACCACGACGTAGGCATTTTTCTGCCACGTCGTGGGCAATCTTCTGATCCGCGTTTTTCCTTTCTATCTTGACGTGGGAATTCTTTTTCCATGTCTTGAGAAGCCTCTGTTCAACGAAATTTTCTTTTGCTTAATTCAAATTGATTAGTATAATTACCTTAGTTAATATTATTTTAATTATATAAAATATGAATATTTAACTTGGTAATCTAATCTCCTAAAATCTTGAATTTGTGAATTATCCTTATGATTTTATTAAATTTAATTCTTTGATTAATTAAAAGATACATATTGAAATCATTAATTGGTTTAAATAATTAGTTAATTAAATTGTTTAATAATTAATGTCTAAGCCTTATTTTAAAATATTTAAAATACACCCTTATACTTATATATTAAATGTTTAATAATATATGTATGATATAAGTCAGTCGAATTACTAGTATGCCTCATTCACGAAGTCGTGCTATAAAGAGGGTATAAGGAAACAGCCTATAAAATGACCACTGAATGAGTATCATTTTCACCCACCGCTCTCCTGTGTGGTGGAGGGTCGTTAGCAGAACGGGTTCGATAAGACATAACCTCATTACAAGTATAATGCTATAAAGTACTAGAACCTTTCAAAATCTCACTCTAGTTACTTTAGGAAAAATATGAAATTGTATGCTAATCCAAGAAAACGCACATCAATCTTTATGAATCGTTAGTGGAGCATGTGTGGTTAACAAACACACTAATTTGGGACTATAAAGTTTTTATGATGGCACAACTCGAAAATTATCATTAGTTGATAGAGTGTATGTGTTTTACCGGCACATCAAATTTGAGATGATAAAAGACTTCGAGGTTGTCAAGCGGGTTTGCATGGTTATTCACATCTTATTTGTGATCCTCAACAAACCAGTCACAAATCGAAGAGCATAATCCGAGATTAACACGTCATTGATTGTTCAATGATCTCAATAGATCTAGGAGTTTTATTTTGATTGAAATTGGTAAAGTGTTTTGCCTACCTAAAATAGATTTGTGATGTGATTACGACATCCCTCTTCATGTTACGAATTGTATTTATAGATCCTAGCCTTAATTTAAAATTAGGTTAATAATTAAGGAATAAATCACCTTAATTAAACTTTCTCCTTTAGGTTAAATGGAATCCTCTCCCACCTCCTCAC